TTCGAGCATTAAGGGACGAATCCCGTCGTCATCGGCACTCTGCCGAGCATCTTGCCGAGATCGCATACCGCTTTATGAAAACCCGCAAGAGCTTGGAGCACTATGTTCACCGACTGCCTCACGTTGTGACGTATCGCGCTTTTTCGAAGCAATCCTAGCCGTCGAGAAGACAAATACGTCACTTTGTGCGACGGTTATGTGCCTGGTGCCGTTGGAAACAAAATCAGTTGCTGGTTTAGCATTTAGGTGGTAAAGCACCTATAGCCGCCTATCCGGCGCTAACGCTTCCGCGTTCATTTGCGCCGGATCCCGGTACGGCTTAAGCAAGCCCATATAGAACACCGGGTTGGTGCGTATTCTTCTCGGAAGGTTCGGCGGCCTCGCTTGGCCCAATAAACTGTGGACGGAGGTTTGTCAAAAAGACAGCAGAGACTGCATGTGTAGGAAGGTCTTCGGCATTTGATAGAATCGGGTCTCCAAACTCAAAATATTCAACATTTTTTTGCTTCTTCCCATTGCATTTTCTTTCAACATGGCTTGTCTTTCATCCGTGACATCGCGAACGTGTCGTAGCACTGAATCTGGTAGACATGAAGTCATCGACTTCTTTACCGACAGTGGGGGGGCTGACATCCGCTAGCCTCTCGGCTATCCCTCCCCCACCAAGCCCTGAGTCATAGGATGGCGGCGTCAGCGGGACGCGAGATTGAAAGAGCTCGTTCATGTAGAATGGCGTGTAGCCGGTTGAAGAATGCACTGCATTGTTCAGTGCAAATTTTACGATTGGCAACATCGCGCTCAAGCGCCTCGGCATCTCAGCGCAGACGCTGCGAAGAACGCCTTCGATGACGCGATTTACCCTTTCGGTTTGACCATCGGTCTGCGGATGATCCGCTGTCGACATATCCAACTTGGTGCCTAGCACCTTGAAGAAAGTCGACCAAAAGTTTTCCGTGAAACGGGCGTCTCTATCAGAGACAATCAACTTTGGGAGTCCGTGTTGTCGGAAACCACGATCCACAAACAGCGTTGCTGTACCGACTCCGTCGATGGTGTCTGGCACCGCCGC